AGTGAAACATTCGAAATTTTTGAAAAAGTATCAGGGGAACATGACAATCGAGGAGTTATTCACTGAAATTTTCACTGAAAGTGAAAAATTCCAAATTTTCGAAAAACTATCAGGGGAACATGACAATCGAGGAGCTATTCAGTTTTTAACCAATATGTCGATTTATTAGTCAGTTACAAAAGAAAAAATTGAAATTATTTAAAAAAAAAAATGAATGACGGCGGGATCGAACCCGGGCCGTCGGCGTGGTAGGCAAGCACGTTACCGCTAGGACAACGCGCCATTACAATATAATAATTTCAATAGGAGTATATATATTGCAAAAGTATCGTTTTAAAAAATTGCTAATTTTTCAATTTCACTGTATATCTTCTCGATTTTCAAATATTCAGTTTTTAAACGATATTTCCATTAATTAGCTATGAATAAAAACAAAAAATTATAATTATTTTGAAAAAAAAAAAATGAATGAGCGGCCCGGGATTGAACCCGGGCCGCTGGCGTGCTAGTCGAGCACGTTACCGCTAGGACATCGCGCTCGTTATAATAATTCATTTCAATAGGCGTATATCTTCTACATATTAAATAATTTTTTCCATTAAAAATTTCACAAGATGTGGCTTCTCCCTTCCGCTCGTTCTAGTCGGCTAAATTTCAGTTAAACAATTAAAAACAAAAAGCATTCATACCGCAAACAATAAAATTCACCCCGTCAACTCGATGGACACCCCAGGATTGCAATAAAAACTTGGGTAATAAAAAAAAAACACCCCCGCATTGCGCGTGGCGCCCTCCCTCTCTTGGGGTGCAGTACTACCATGCCGTTGGGGTCTCTCAAACCCCCAGAATTGAGCCCCTACTTCAGTCAATCCCCTTTGGTCAAACCATTGCCATAAGCGTTGCTCATCTCCCCTATAACCTCTGGTGTTAGTCCTCTGGAAAAATGGCTGCAAGTGTGAATGGTATTTTTCGGAAAGATTTGCAAGATGCTATTATTCAGAGTAAAGTGTTGGTTATCGGTGCCGGTGGAATTGGCTGCGAAATCCTGAAGAATCTCGTAATGACTGGCTTCAAAGACATCGAAATTGTGAGTGTAATTGATATATTTGAGTGGAGTGTAAATTTGCCGCGTCCTGAACGCGCTGTTATGCCGTCATTTCATTCAATTTCTCTCGTTTTTTATTTGTTGACTTTTATGCACATTTTACAATAACATTTCAGCTTGATCTGGATACAATTGATGTCAGCAATTTGAATCGACAGTTTTTGTTCCAAAAACAACACGTGGGGAAGTCCAAATCTGCGGTGGCACGTGAGACTGCATTGACATTCAATCCGGATGTGAAAATTGTCTCTTACCATGATAACATCACATCGTAAGTACAAGTCCAGGGAAATTATTATTTTTTTCTCCTCCCTCCTCTCCTACTCATAATCTCCGCTGTTCCATGGACTTTGTTATTAATTATTATAGACAGCAACAAGATTTCCATTATCGTATGCAAAATTTTGAAATTAATCGACAGTCGACGTCCTCCATTTCCTCAGGATTCATGTCTTTCAATCGAGTTTTAGAATACTATAAAGTTTGATGAGAATCTCCGTGTATTTAACTCCGTGCACTTGAGCGTTCTCGGATAATTAAATATTTATTGATTCCAATTAAAATTCCAGTGGAGATTTAGTTCGCGAATTCGAGTCATCAATATTTACGCATAAAACTTCCGCTCTGAAGATTAGCTACGAAAATTTACTCATGAAAATTTCTGAAACCACAGGGATTAGTTGGTTTACATTACAGTCTGTGAAGTTTAAACTGAACTTTCCTCTCCCATTCCAGTCCTGGGGAATTAAATTACGAAAGTAGATTACTGGCGAATGTTTTTACACAGTTTCCATCTTCACCCTTATCGGGAGAATGACAGCAGTCGAATGAGGGAAAATTTATTCAAGGGGCCAGGGCGAGGGTATTATAAAAGGCCTGAATCAATATTACGCACAGGAACTCCCTTTTTTTTTATGAAAAATCCGCGTGTTGTCTTGCACGCACCATCCAAAACAAATAAAAAACTCAAACCAAATACACGCGTATTTCTGTCGCAGCTCGGACTACGGCCTCTCCTTCTTCAAACGATTCTCGCTTGTGATGAATGCTCTAGACAACCGTGCAGCACGCAATCACGTGAACCGAATGTGTCTAGCCGCAGACATTCCCTTAATTGAGTCAGGTACCGCGGGTTACGACGGTCAAGTGGAATTAATAAAGAAAGGCCTGAGCGTCTGCTATGAGTGCTTACCAAAGCCAACGCAGAAGACATTCCCAGGTTGTACAATAAGAAATACTCCAAGCGAACCAATTCACTGCATTGTGTGGTCCAAGCACCTCTTCAATCAGCTGTTTGGTGAAGAGGATCCAGATCAGGATGTATCACCGGACACAGCTGATCCAGAAGCAGCGGGTGATAAAGCAGGTGAGGGTGCACTGAACTCAGACTCCAATGAGAAAGGCAACATCGAGAGAGTCTCCACACGGCTCTGGGCACAGTCCTCCGATTACGATCCTGAGAAGCTCTTCAACAAGCTTTTCCATGACGACATAAAGTACCTCCTTTCCATGGACAATCTCTGGAAGAAACGAAGACCACCGACTCCCCTTGATTGGAAAAATTTGCCTGACGTTGTGGCTGGATGCAGCAAAGAAAACAACGATGACACATGCCTCAAGGAGCAGCAGAAGTGGAGTATCGCAAAGTGTGCTGACGTATTCTCCAACGCTGTACACAATCTCAAAACCAATTTATCAAAATTGAGGGAAAAATCACCGAACGATCATCTCGTTTGGGACAAGGACGATCAAGACGCCATGGATTTTGTTGCGGCCTGCGCCAATATCCGAGCCCACATCTTCGGCATCTCCCAGAAATCAAGATTCGACGTTAAATCAATGGCTGGAAATATAATTCCAGCCATAGCAACCACCAATGCTATTGTCGCTGGAATTGTAATTCTACACGCATTCCGTATTCTCAGGGGATTATTCGAGGAATGTAAATCCGTTTACCTCAGGCCAAGACCCAATCACAGGGGCCAATTACTTGTACCTGAGAAGTGTCTCAATCCACCGAATCCAAAGTGCTACGTTTGTGCCCCCACACCATCAGCTGCTCTTGCCGTTGACACGACCAAGATGACAATTGCTGAGTTGGACGAAATTGTTCTCAAGGGACGTCTCAACATGATTCAACCTGATGTTATGATTGACGGCAAGGGAGTGGTTTTGATAAGCTCGGAAGAGGGTGAGACTGAGGAGAATAATGGAAAAATTCTGGAGGAGCTTGGGGTCCGGGATGGAACGATTCTCAAGGTCGATGATTTTCAACAGAATTACTCCCTCACTGTTACTGTCGTCCACAGGGAAAAGCCCACAGGGAGGGCTGAGGGTGATGATTTTCTCATTGTGGCTGATGAGATGGATTTGAAACCCAAGGAGGAGGTGAAGAGGGAGGCGGCACCTTCCACGTCCAATGGACAGGTCGACGAATCTGATGAGGAGGATTGCGTCGAGGTTGAGGTCGAGGTTGAAACACCTGGAGAGGTCGTTGCGAAGAAGAGAAAGACTGGATCCATTGAAAAAGAGGTACCAAGCCCCAAGAAACGGAGGACTGACAGCCAGGGGGACGATGACTGCTGCATTGTTGCGGAGGGTGAAAAATCTTCAGGGAAGAAAGCACACAAGAGAGCTATCGCTAATGACGATGAATGCCTCATTGTCTTTGATGAGGGAAAGGACATTTCTGTATCCCCTAAGAAGAAAATCAATCCTGCTAATTGAAAAAATATCAGTTTGATGTGATGGGCCAGCGGTGAGTGTCAGTAAATTTTCCTTTTTTGTTTTTGTATTTATAAAAGAGTTGAGAATCAGGTCAATAAATCACTTCCATGTGTATGAACTTGTCTGAATTTTTTTGTTAACCGGAATGGGATATCCTGGAGTTTATGATTTTTCGAGGGAAATCCAACGGATATCTGGGGAATTATTCAACGATTCGTTTTGTGGAAATGTTTTATACCTCCGAATTTGATATTAGGTTTCGAAATATCTAGGAACTCGGGGAAAATCTGGAAGAGACGATAAAGTGGATAATCCACAACTCTTTTACCTCTCCTCTTCCTCTAAAATATTGAAATGAACAAGACACCACGCGATTCACTTCTGAGCCTCGAAACAAGTGAATAGTATTGAGTTTCTCGAGATAATGATGTCATTATTAAAACAATGTTTTCATGTATTTTCTGAAATTTTACCCAGACAATAATGGCAGAAAAAAAATGAATTCATGGCAACACGTAAGTTTTTTTGCAAGCCTCGTACACTCTCGGGCTGTAATCAAACATATCAAAGTCAATTTTATACCGCTGATAGAGTCTTTGTAGCGTATCGCTAGTCAATGTCGATAAATAATCGCAAGTTCGTTGAAAATTCGTTGCTCCCCCGCGTGTACCTCCCAGTTTCACCAATTTCCATTCCCTGCGTTCTGGATTAAGTCTCGTAAAAATATTTTCGAACTCATGAATTAATTCATCGTCAACTTTCAAAACATAATCAAAATTCATTTGACATATTGAGCAGTGGGAGTGGTACTGACTCCAGTGCTCGTCGTCATTCTCTTCGGATTGTGTCAAAAGCCACGAGACAAATTCCTGGAATGTTGGGACGAGTTTCAACCTGGAATGACCAATTTTGTATAAAAAAAAAAAGGAGGTCACATTTGTACGGTTTACTGCAGGGGATTTACCTTCTGTTGTTGTGAAATATTTGCTGCATCGGACTCTGAATTGTTTCGTTGAAATGGAAGAGATGGGGTCGAGTCTGGTGAAATATCCTTGGGACGAAGATCCAGGCCTGGCTGCTGTACTTTGAATTGTCCTCGATTCTACTCCTGTAGGACGAAACAAGACGCTCGAATGGGTGTCGAACTGCTAGGAATTTGAATACACCCATGTCGTCTACGAGATTCAAAAAATCCTCGACAGTCGCGGGAGATAAAAATCCACTTGCCCTGGGTAAAAAGGAATCACGGCGATTTGTTGAATTATGGCCCATTAGAGATGATTTATTCGGTCGACAATTGGGGGAATGAAATTGATCAATTTTATTGAGAAATCAGTCGTTGCTGAATGTCTAGGAGTCGGAGAGAACGAATTTATCCGATTTTATAAATCGAATTCAAGGAGATTCATTATTTCTCATTATTCAATTGATTTTTTGCGAATGATTGAAATTAATACGATACAATAAATATTTTCAAGTTTTAAATTTGGAGATGAAAGGGGGAGTGTAATTACTTGTAATAATTCCTCTCCATCTGTATCCCCCGGAGTTCGGCAAACATTTTCGTGAAACTGGTGGACGCGACTTTTCTTATCCAGCAGAAGAGCGCATTGTGCGATGGATCGTGAAAGAAATGTTTTCTCTCCAGGCTAGTTGTTTTATTGTATTTTTCACAAACACTTGCGATACGCTGGAGAGACGATTCAATTACTTGAGTATCGATTGGCGTATCGTATGACTCGGTCGGTGGTTTTGTAGTCACTGGATAACTCAAATTGCGGATCACTTTAGCGGAAGACGACTGATTAATTCTGATTAGTAACAGTGAAAGGCAAATTGATATGTACAGAATTAAACAGAGAGCGTATTTTGGGAGATGCTTCTTCCCGTTCATCCTGAATATAATGAGAATTTTTCAAGTCAGATAATGGAACTTCCGGTTTTTCCCGATTTGACTCAACAGCTGTTATGCGATATTGCTATCACCAGGACTATCTCCAGTCGTTTCAATGGAGAGCATCAGTCTCTCTGGTGGTCATTCGATATGTTTGCTTCAACATAAAAGCAATTTAATTTCATCGGAAAAATATTTTCGGGTATTTGGGAGGGAGTAAAAATGATCAGTCTATTTTAAATTTATCTCTCGTGTATTAGCTGTCGCATACATCAATAATACATTGTACAATCACTGTTAATAAATAAACAAAACGGTTTAAGTGGAAAATACGAAAAATGTACAACAAAAGTCATTGGCGGAATGAGAAAACGAGATTTCATAAATTTTTAAATAAACAATATCAATATAGAATTGTCGTAAATTTGTCCTTATTAAAAACATCAAGTATTAACTTGAAGTGAAAAAATAAAATCCCCAATGGTGAAAACAAAACCACTGAACCATATAAAAAATCGCGTTTGAAAAAATTCTACTACCAGAACTTGTCCAAAAAATTTATAACATTTGTCCTGATTGCTACTGAATATCGAAAAATAGTATCAGTCAATCTTTCCTTTTATCATTTGCACACCCCTCGATGCTTTTCGCGGCATCATGCGAAATACCTGGATAAACAATAAAAAAATAGCAGCATAAAAAACAAATACGTCGATGGAGTAGTACCTCACGAGTCCTATGTGCCTGAGGAGGAGATAAGTCAAATTAATTACTGGAGATTAGCAGAATTAGGATTTTAATTACCTGGCTGAGCTTTTCATGTGATCAGCTCCACGATGTCTTGCAACATATTCAACCCACCAGATTGCAAGCTCTGTTGAGCTCAAAGGCTGATCCTTCAACAATAAACTTTGTCTTTTTGCTGCTTCTTTGTATGGATTATCTCTCGTTGATGCCACTTTGAGGATTGAATCTCGTAGTCCAGTTATTGATAAACTCTCGAGATTTATCACTTTGGCGTACCCCAGCTTTTCTGCATTTTCACGAAAAAAATTTCACGCTTTTATACCCATTAGTCCTATGACAATTACGTCCTCGATATTTTATTATGATTATCTTCTATTATTTTCATGGGCATTTTTTTATTTGTTACTTAAATTTCACAATGAATTTCAGAAAAAAAAATAATAATCACAAGGCAGCGGTCGATTTCCGGGGGAAAAAAGCGGGAAAGCGAGTGGAAAACAGAATAATTTGCATGCGGAGTGTTGAGTGCGGCTATTTAATGTTTTTTTTTTCATACAAAATGCACTACTCAAATAGTCGCACACCGAATTCCGAGAAGTGGTTTTTCATGGAATGGAGATTTTATTTTTCAGTGCGGAATCAATCGTTGGTCGCTCTTTGTAGAGTATACAATGGCTATTTGCCTGGCATATGCATGCTTAAACAGTGAATACTACAGCTTCACACAGGAAAAGAATTCGATGAGGTACTGGTGATACAGAAGGGAATAAGAGCTTTTTTCCATTTTTCGGTATTGAATTCCCGGAAGTAATTAGAGAAAAAATGCCGTTCATTTTGTGTTGAATATTAAATTTCCCTCGCACAAAAACCAATTGAAATATAAATTCATTTTAATTGAATTCTCAAAACTTCATTTTTTAATTGAAATATTTTTTTTATAGCCCCGATTTAAAATGAATTCGCGTTGATATTTTTGAAAGCGACCGGGACAATTCTGATTCTTGAAAAATGTTCCGAGGAACTCTAGGATTTTTTTTTGTGGAGTGTAAACACGTGAGAGCCCACGATATTGTGAATACTTCAATATTTATTCATGAGAATCGACGAAAAATTGATTCAGACCACGTGAATTTTCTGCCCCGTCATCTGCAAACAAAGTTGCTACCCTCCGAGGAGTTTCAACGAGTTGTACATCTCGTACTCAATAAAAAAAAAAGTTGCAGAGGGCCCAGAGATGTAGCAAGAATTTAAAAAATAAAAGCTACCCATGGGGTACAAGAATTATGCAATACTCCGGGCTCACTACAACTTTTGATTGCACTCCGTGTTTTTCATTTTTTCTTGAGACTCCAACTTGATAAATTAATGACTCCTCAATCACAAAACTTCTCGTTGAACTAAATGTGCACTTGAGAGCAAAGAATGCTGAATAATTCGTCAACTATTTAATTTCAGGAAAAAGCCGAATCCGCTGCACCCCAGGAAGAGAAATTTTTCAATTAAAAACCAAGGGATTTTTTTTTTCAATTTCTTTCTCGTGAATAATATAAAAATATTTTTTTTTGTTTATGATATCCAATAAAATTTTGAGGAAAGGGGAATTGGTATTGTTCGAGTGAAATTCGTCTCAACATGATTCAAAAAGCCGAATCCGCTGCACCCCAGGAAGAGAAATTCTTCAATTAAAAACCAAGGGATGTTTTTTTTCAATTTCTTTCTCGTGAATAATATAAAAATATTTTTTTTTGTTTATGATATCCAATAAAATTTTGAGGAAAGGGGAATTGGTATTGTTCGAGCGAAATTTCGAAAAGAATTTCTCTCCGTGCGGTCTCTCGACGGAGATAATAAAACCAATTAACTGGAAATGAATACAGACGGAAATTCTTTCATTGGAAGAATTGCGCTGAAAAAATTGTGCCAAAGGAGAGAAAAGTTACGCTCTTGTAAATTTCATTGACACAATTTCATGGTGAATGACACGAACGGCATTTCCATTGTAATACAGTCATGAAAGCAATTGGCTGTATTCATCTGGTATTTCAATTGAATGGAGATATTCGGGCACATTTGACGTTCCGAAAAAAAAACCAAGAAAAATTCTGACATGTGCTGACAATCCGGAATTTTTTTTTTTAATCAATCCGTTGATGCAAACTTCGCGGTAATTTGCCTTGATAATTGAATTGATGTGACACGAATCTAGGAAAGTTTTTATTGTAAATATTGATGGTATGGGAATCTGAAAAAAAAATTATTATTCCTCACGAATTCTGGAGGAGTGCCGCATGGAAATTGATTCTTACTGCGAGAAAATTAGAATACAAAAGGACAAATTTCAATATTTTTCAAACAAGGAAGAGAAATTCTCCGCATGCAAAATTTTCCACGCAATTTTTTCCGTGCATCTGATTATTGAAAAAAATTGATTGAATATTCAAAAATTCAAGAAAAGGTGGAGTAGAATTTTTCCCAGAAGAATTAAATTTTGAGAATTTGGATAGTGAAAATTTTTCAATTAATTATCGAGTGTAAAAAAATGGTTGCGTACCAGCTTGTGCAGCATTTCCATCGTGATCACAGAAAACCGGCAGCACAAGAGTGGGTGCAGCATGATAAGCAGCTTCATGAAGAGATAAGAGTCCACCATGTGAGACAAAACCCCTCAACTCCTTGTGCCCGAGGAGTTCCTGCTGTGGCCACCACGCACCAGTTCTCACATTTCCCGGTAAGTTATCAATTTTTCCACCTTCCCATTTCCACACAACATTAAAAGGCAGAGTGGAAAAAGCAGCAACAAACATCTCCCGGAGGCCATCAGGCATCCCCGAGGCCCTCACGGAAGACCCCATGGATACAAATATGAATCCTATCAACATAAATGAATGATTCTCCATCATCTTCATTAAGATATTCTTGAAAGGCATCAATATTTACTCTGAAGACTTCCTGTTTTTTCTCAAGAGGATTTAATTAAATGCGTCATTCATTTTTTTACAATCGTATTAATGTGTACCTTTTCGTAGGAATGATTCTAGATCCGGACTGAGGGCCAGTGGGGGACGACAATGAAGACAGGCCACGTTTACGACATTCGATAAATATGGGAGAGAGTCTGCTACTGCGTAATGACTGTTTTGCAGAGTCACTGGGACCTCTGAAATCAGCTCTCGAACGTCTGGTACTTCGTATCCTACGCCATATCAATTGGGTGAATTAAAAAAAAAAACCATTCACATTTTTTATACTAAATAAATAAAAATAATATATGTATATCAACTCATTCACATTCATTTTCATTCTCCATAAAACCCAACTCGTTCATCTAATATTCTACCTATTCCAAGTAAATACTACCATAATTCAAATTTACTGTAGGATGAGTGGAAAAAAAAATTCTCATCCCGTAATGGAGCGAGACCTTGATTGCTACTCCTAATGTTTGTGGAGAGATAATCCATTAGACAGCTTAAAAGGTTATTTCAGAATCTTCGGGTTAAAAACCCGAAAAAAATAGAAGGAATTTCTAATCAGTTGAGCGTTCGGTTGGTGGGAATAACCCGACCATTTTAAGTGATCAAATGCCCAAAAAAAAATCTATTAAGCCATTAATTGTTGCATGACTCCTCGTCGACGATTTTCTATCGCGTGATATTCTGCCCGAGGCATCCTCAGGATTGCGTAATCGTTACGCAAAAAATTATATTCACTCGTAGTTGATCAGAATTCTGTCGGTATTTAATGTTACATGTGCTTCAGAACATTTATAACGGCTTCCTTCAAACACCCCTGGAGTTTCTCTTCCGCTTCCTTAATTCTGGGATAATTGAATTTACTCACTCAAATATTTGCGCAGTGTCGGTTGAATGAAGTTGGTGACCATGAACCAGTGCATGGTCTTGATGATTGAGAGACAGGCAACGTTGATGATTCTCTCGAAGTAGTTCATGTCCTGGGTGTAGCCTCGGCCAAAATAGGGGATGATCGACCACGGGGAGGGGTTTCCCTGGAGGGATATCGAACCCTCGTACAGGGCGACCTGCAAAAAAAAATCTTTTACGTCCAGGGGAAAAAAACAATTTCGATTAACTTCTGGCACTTTTGATTTTTTTTATTCTTTTGATTCTTCTACTTTTGATATTAAATTTCTGGATATTTCTGGAAATTGAATTCAATACATTTTCGGAAAATTGTAGAGTCCTGGAAAATGTCTGCGGATTTCCGGGGGAATCTCATATCAATATTCAGTATTTCCCGCGAGATCTCCCGCATACAAATGAACTCGTTGAATTTCTACAAAATAAAATTGATGGAAAAGTAATTTTTATTGAAAAAAATCCGATAAATTAATCGGCGCAAAAGATTTTTCCATTGATTTCTCAAAAAAAAAATCATTAAAATTTATGTATCTCCCTTTGACTCGGAGATATTCCTGGCAAAGCCTCCGCTGAGAGCTTCCGAAATTCCCCAAGATTTTTAAGACTCTAATTTTTTAGTCCTTGAGGTTTTAGTATAGCTCTAATAGCATTGAAAATTTTAAAAGGTGTGTAGGAAGTTTCGGTCAAGAATTTTTAACACCTCACACCGCGAATTACACTGATTATCATAAACATATTCTCCTAATTGTTTTTCGACTGTACGGAGGTGACGAAAGTACGTGATTAGATTTTTTTATGATTACTACAAATAAATGAATGATTTAAATAATAGATATGGGGTAAATAATTTTTTCTATCACGAATTACCGTGTTCAACATCATGGTGGGAATATTTTCCTTGTGGATGATCCCGAGGAGGCACTCCGGAAAGGCCCCATCGATTACAGCGATATCCCAACGCTCTGGCCCATTTACCTCCGATAATTCGGGTCTTCTCAATTGAGCTATTGAACTCTCATCTCGCAATAGAGCTTCACATGACTCCCAACCATATCTCATTGCATCCCACGGTGAAAGTGGTAACTCGTTTCTGTATCTTGCACCAACGAGATCCCATTCTGATGTGTAGTTACCGATGTAAGCCTTTTAGAGCATCGTAAATATTTTACTCCGCATTATTTACATTAAAAGAGAAAATATGAATTTATATTGAATGGGAAAAAATCTGAGGAGTGAACGGAACAGTAAAACCACTCTATTTCTTTTTTTTTTGTTATCAGTCATGAAAATTTATCCCCCAAATCGGTGGATTTCCAGGAATTTACTATTAAATTCGAGACATCGGTTGCGTAAAAATGAGAATTTTCTTTCTAATCTGAAGAGTAAATTATTCCGTTAAAAAATTCCTCCAGTTTGCAATTTAGGTGTGAGAATGATGTGAAAAATGAATGAAAAGGCACCTCGAGAATGGAAGGGACGATCTCTCGAAGTCCATTGTTAGCTGCAGGTCCAGGAAAAGCGCTGACAAGAGTGACATTGTGTCCTCTGGCCCTCAACGCAGTACCAAGTGCAACAAATGGAACAGTATGTGACTTAGTACCCCCCATTGTTGCCAAAAGTACATTGTAACCACTGGTGATACCAGTGATAACCCAGAGGATGACAATCAGACCGGCTGACATCATTACCCTATCAATTTCCAATACAACAATATAAATAAAAATCTGAAATGCCGATGTTCCAACGATGAGCGAGACTTTATACAACTGTCCACCAGCAATAGCATCCAAATAATTTTTACTCTATTTTCCACTCTCCAGGTTGACGTCCAGTTATTATCATGCTAAATAATCCCTTGTCATGCTAAATTTTCGTGAATTATCATTGCACCATTGCACCTTCACTCATCCTCATGGTAATTTCCTTTCAACTCACAGCAATCTCATTTTTCATTTATTTATTTATCATCTTCGTACCACCCAGTCATTCACTTGGTTTATTTAAATAATAATGTACAATGATAATAACAATTACTCCACATTTCACATGGTATTGATATTCACATTGAAAGACACTTACAAATCACCACTCATTGATTATTTATTATTATTTGTTATTGGTATAATAAAATATGCATTCTTGAATTTATTTTTTATTTTTAATCTAGGTTTTTTGTCTATTTCGTTATCTGTCAGGTGAGGGATTGGTGGATTTGAGTGATGATCCGGGGATTTTCGAGGAATTGTTTAAGAAAACTCTGGGTACGAGGATTTTCCTCTGAAATATTCACTCTGAGTGTGAAAGTTTGACTGACCACTAGTCCCAGAGTCTTTGGGCACCTCAGGAGAGACAGAGAGAGTTTTGCCCCACCACTTTTTCGGTTTTTCTTTTATTTTTTTTTTGTTCATTTTTTTTTTATCGTTATATCGTCGTTTTATTTTCACGAGCGGTGAACTACGGGTGAGGGACTGTATCTTTTATTGAAATAGAAAACAAACGATTTTCGATCGAATCGTGAGAAAGAAAGTGATGCATTTGGGGGAATGAAAATTACTGGGTGGAGGGGGGATGTGAAATTACGGAGAAAGGATATTTGTAAGATTGGTTTTCTCGGACGACAGGCATCTGGGAATTCCGGAGATGACAAAAATTGTTTTGTGGGAAGGGATTCGATTTTTTTGCAGGGATTTACCGGTTTTTAGTCGTCTAGGGGCTGGAAAAAAAATGTAATCAAAATCCAACATGCGAATTGATCATTTAATGAGCCGAAAAAAGGGGAGAGGCATTGAGTGGAAAATAAAGGTTAATCATTTGATTACTCCAAATTTGACAACAAAAAAAAAATTAATTTGTTCAGCGGAATGAATGAATTTCCCAGAATGTTTTATTTTCTGAAGGAAAAAAATGTTTGTGAATGGGACTAATGTGGAAAGTAAGACCTGAAGAAAGTGAAACAGTAAATAACTCGTGAGTATAATTTCGTTGATATTATTGCACAATGGTATGCACTGTGTCTGCGTAAAATACTAATTGACGGTGTTTGCAAAAGCGACAATGTGGATTGGAATGACAAACGAGTTATGGCCATGAAGTGTAAGTACTGTTTGAACGTACATCGAGTAAACACCTGGTGAAATTGCGGACATCTCGTACCTCTTGTTATAATTCCAGATCATTCAACATGTACCGCTATTTTTCGCATGATTAAGCGAACGATAATCCCGTGACAATTCCGTTGTCAAAGGATGAATCGTTTCCTTTCACGAAGAAATAATCCTCAATCCTAGATTTTTCGCGAAGAAATCCAAACGGTCATTGCCATTTCGTCAATTCTACTCGCGAATTACGATAATTGCTGGGGAAATGCTGGGAACTGGAGGGAGATAATGATATTTTGAATAGAACATTTTTTGTAGCTCTCATTGGTCTCCAGAAATAATATCTTTACAAAAATATCGCTATATTCCTTCTGTTAGGAGGTATTCGGTAAAAACTCGATTCGAAAAATGCAGTTCTAGTTAACCATTTCGTTGCGGAATTCGGAGAATTGAAATGCAAATTAATGCAGCAAGTGCCTCAAAATGAGGGGAATTTTTCTTGAAAATAGAATGTCAAAGAGATTACTGGGTTTTCAATAAAACTTCAGAGGACAACTTTTGGTGAGTGAAATCTGCGTTTGATCTTTCTTCGGAGTCGCTCATTACGGAAATAATTGAGTTTAGGCGAGCGAAGATGGAATCTCCAATGCTTTACCACTTGACTACTGAATCACAACTTTTCCCAGAATATATCGACTTTATTAACAGCAATAAATCTTTATCATGATGTAACGAAATCACATCTGAGGCTTGACGACGCGAGGATAATAATAAAAATTCTCGTTGAACCGAGGATAATGTCCTCGTGGATTATATTAATCAACAACCGTTAACAGTTTTAATTTCTCTCGATTCTCGTTGTCAAAACGATTCCAGTCGTTTGACTACTGACAGCTCCTTTACTCCTGCTGCCCCTGACCTCCTTGATACCCAGCATTTTTTTAACAGACTGAGAAAATTGGGCGTTCAAACCGGCATAAATAATTGGATTATAACATATCGATGATTTGGCAAGTAGACTCGGTAGGACACCGACCAAAGCTGACGGCTGGAACTGCAACGAAATTTTTTAATCATCAGTCAAGGGAATTTCGGTGAATTGTTATTTATTCTATTTTTTTTTTCTACTCACGTAGAAATATTGAGCTGCTAGTGCTAGTATTGCGTATGGTGTCCATGCTACGAGAAATGCTATAATCATAAGTGCTACGATTTTTGTCACTTTTACTTCACGTCGGCGTGTGCCACCTGTCAGGGAAAAAATTTCATCAACCGGTTGCTCGGACAATAATTTTATTTCATTCCATTGAAATTATGAATTTGTGATAATGTTTAATTTTTTATTTGCTGTGTTGAAACGTCAGCGAAATTTTGAATTCTAGGATTGTTTCCGGAGAGTTGAGTTTTCTCGAATGAAATTTTCAATTTTCAATTTTCAATTTCCGCACGTGCATTTTGATTTCCACATGGAAACTTCCACCAGCTTTCATCCAGGTTAACGGAATATAAACTTGGGATATTTTGTTGAGTGAAAGAAAATCCATTTACTAAAAAATTCACGAGTGAATGGGGCATTGAAACCGCGCTATCCGTAACTTAAAGAAAAAAAATGATTGTCGTGGTTGTGTCAAAAACTAGGACGAGTGAAGTTTGCATTGAGATCATCAACAATTCTTTGTGCCGAGAATAAACTTTCTTGGCATGCAGAGTGTGATAAAAAGCCTGAACTGATTGATTAGAAAATTTAGAAAGACTTTGTTCAAGTGTTTTAAAAGCAAAAGCCCCGGGCATCCATCAGCATTTTTTTTTGCCGAGGACGTGGATGATGAATTTTTTTCGGGAGAATCCCAATTTTCTTCATACTCTGAAGAGTGGTCATGTGAGATATCCGGGAGCGAGGGCAAACCTCTGGGGATCCTCCAAACTTAATAATTCAGAACCACCAACCGGAATATTCCCTCGGAGGTCTGTCCACAATTACTGAGACATGAGCTAGACTTTCAATTCTCGATGCCAACGTTTATTGCTGTATTCTGCAATCGACGTAGTCATACAAGCCTTTTCTCTTTCATCGTCACGAAAACGGAGAATTTTTCAGGGGGAGATTCCAAAGGGAGAGGAGAAAAACGGACGAAATGAAAAATCACGACAATGCTGAGGCATTCTCGGTGAAACACAGAAAGAAACGCCGGAGGAAAGAAATTGAGCAATTGATAAATAACTAGATTATTTGATTGAAATCCCATGAGAAATGTTAATAATTTATTATGATTTTTCGTGCAGGCATGTCGGGTAATGAGACATGACGTACCTGTGCGTTTTTTAACTTTCTTCAATGTCGAAATTATTCCGAAGTAGCTCGCTGATATCAGTATAACGGGGACTATCATTGCAAATAAGAATATGAATGCAATGTATGTATCACTGTGAGTTGCGGGATTGTGCACTTCCCAGGAGACACTGCATGATACATTTCCTGGTTCATATCCATAACTGCCCCATCCGAAGAACGGAGGCAGACTCAGACTGACAGCATACACCCACACTACACCACTCAAGGCCATGGCAGTTCTTAAAAAATATATCGATCATCAATATATTCCATTATTCAAAGATTCTACGAAAAAATTCATTTTAAACTCCAATGCTTTTTTTTCATGAATTTTCAAAGAATCTCTACAATTCTAGAAATCTTTCACAATAAATTCACCATAAAAAAAAGCACCGAGTCTAATGATTTTTTAAACAAAATTTTCGCTGATAATATCACCCACTTGATGCTCACACTCAACATTGGTCTGACCACAAACAAATATCTTTCCAGTGCCATCATCGTGAGATTTCCGATGCTAGCAAATCCCAATGTCGACATGATCCAGGCATACCTACGAAATTACACGTCACAGCAATAATTGGTAACAATAGATCCGTGTAATTCAATATCTTGATGTAATGAGCAACAGTTAATACTCCACGAGTGCTCCGATACGCTATTTCGTGATCCAATTCGTGATTATTGGTTGCAATAAAAATCAATATAGCATCGAAAACGTTAAGCGTAACAAGTTGGTTCACCTATCACTTGCCTTTTCGAGGAATATCCCTGCCCCTAAAGGAGATGCCATTTTCCTCTTTCATTTGGCTTTTCAATTTTATTCAATTACTCAGGATAATGCTGATTCAAGTGGAAAAGGAATTTTTTATTTTTGACCATTTGTTTTTCGGCATTCGAGAGTTGTTGGGCTCAGATTAATTAATTATTTGGATTGATCAAACGTAGAGATTGCAATATTAATTCGAAAATTTTCGTTATCGTTGGTTTTTCGGTAGGATTTTTTTTTTCTGTGCCGCTACGGATGGGGAGTATTTTTTTTAATATTGATGAATGGAATATTTTACCATAGGCACGTGCTGTGGCTCCAGTACCATCCACCCTTGATCGCCGACACGAGGGCCAGTGGATTCCCAAGAAGGGCAACCAAAAAATCCCCCAACTACAAAATATTTATGAAATAAAGCTCTCTCCTGAGTGCATAAAAGACAGCTCCTGGAATTGAAATGGTTTTCCCTCGAATTTTCATTCCAGTTAAAAGCACTACAACTGGAATTAATCGAGATGATACGAAAGCTTTTCATCTCAGCATCGACCTTCCACTCTTCATCAATTCCTCTTCGTTTCTTTCCACTCATTGAAATCACCCAACTTTCCCAAAAAAGCATTAACGTTGGGAAGACCCAGGCAAAACGGAACACATGATAAAATGGCATCCATCGGGAGATTCAATGCGATTTAAATTTCATTTGAAGAAAAAATTTTCATTTGAAATTCGAAATTTCAGTGGACTCGGGGAAGAGTGAATCAGTCATCGGTAAAAATTTTAGTTTCTCAATTAAATCGGTAGAAGTAATAATTATTGACTTGTTGTAATTGATCGTTAATGAATTCAACCGAAAAAAATTGTCTGGAAATTTGCCAGACTATTTCCCGCGCTAATTGACCCTCGGGAGAGAATTTCGAATAAAGTCGATGCGATATCAAGCATCACCTCCTCAATTAACAAATTTTCCGCAACAATTGACATTGTTATTAATTACCGACTTGATTGACTTTCCCAATCCAATAAATTTTTTTTTTCTCCCCACAGGAAGAAAATATTTATAATTATTAAAAATTTCTTCTCAATTTCTCGCGATCTCTGAATATCAGAGAAAACTTTCGATTTTTAATTGATTCACCGATGGAAATAATTCACTCAATTACCTCTCAATTCCTCTCGAGTCTCCGATCAAAGATAAATATTCAATAAAAATTCCATATCGTTCCAGTAATTCCAGTAAAAAATTTTCGATACAGCCGGCGAATTGTCTCAGTCATTTCGATAATTGTCAGTTCTCATTTCAGTATCCAGTCTCCAATAACTTGAAAAACCAATCCATTTCCAGGATCTGTCTTACTCCTTCGTAATAAATTAACGATAATTTGAATACTGACTACATGAAAAATAAATACAACTCCCACAGAATCACATACCGCCAAATTCCAGAGTATAACATTTACGGGTGTCCAGAGGTGATGGGAATCACTTATAATAATTATCAAAACAAGTAGATTAAACGTAAAACCACAAAATCCAATTGCACTTAGAACAACAGCCACCCCTATGCACGCCTCACTACTCAATCCCTGTGGAATTGGTATTTCGCTATCCATTTTATTATAAAAATTGTGTAGAAAAATATTTCTAAAATATTTTCTATACTTCCCGGTGGTTTGTGGAGTCGCGTGTACCGCGTCCCAACTGATTGCTGTCTTTGATACTTTCATCCCTTATGTAGCGGTTTGAAGCCTTTGGGGGTGGATTTTAGTTGGCATGCGCATTACCCCCGCCACATGTTCGTTCAAATGTCCCGGGTTTCAACGACTAGTCGATGAAACAATTTTTTTTCGCGAATGGAACTCGCTTTGATCGAGCGGTCTAAAATGTCTCGAGAATGTCAATTTAATATTTCTTGTTGAAAATAAAATAATCTTGATTGTGAACGATAGAAGTATCTCTCGGGAATTATTTTCGATGACAAACGAATTGAATGACAAATGGCCTGTCTGGTACTGAAATTAAAAAATTGATAGTATTGGAATTGATGAGCGGCAGGTGATTCGGAACATCTCAAGGTGATTTTTATTTCATTTCATTAATTTCCAATTAATTTGCCGAAGATTTACGGCAATAAAACCACGGAAAATCCATGTTCTGAATTTTATTATTAAAAAAAAAATAATAATCCCCCAAAAACAGTAACCCATTTCACCCCCGAACAATCGATTACCAATTTACCAGTAACAATCCATAATTCCGAGAACCGTGACGCACGTACAAGAGGAAATAACTCGATCGTTACATCAAAAAGAGTTGAGCCAGTTTAACGAGATTACTGGATGATGCTCGTTATCACTAAACCTCACAGATGAAACGCCACGAAAAATAATGGAGAAATCGAAAGCCCCTAATTCCCCTAACGAAAGCACTCGACCTGCTAATTAAAAAAAACCTGAAAAACTGTAAATACAGAAATAACCCAACAATTCGTTTCCATCATATCCATCATTTAATCCAAGAAGTATCAGTTCACAGTACAATAATTAATAATAATAAAAAAAAAAGATAAGCCACGAGACAATAAATTCTACATATCCTCGGTATCGCTGTCCGAGTCCTCAGCCATAGCCTGACGAGCTTTCGCCTCAGCTTCAGTTTTGATCTCATGTGGAATACGTTGGTGTTTGCCATTGGTGTGTGCTCCAACCCAACTCATCTCAAGCTCAAACTGCTTGTCCTTGAGTTCATCATGAACGAGATAAATAATGCGCGCAGCCTCTTTGACAAGTTCTCTACAAGTCATGTCACTCAATTTGAGCTTTTCTATTTCAGTTTTGGCTGATTGTTTGGCTTTACCAACGGCACAGCCAAAGTAGCCGTAAGATACACCAGATGGATCAATCATATACATGGCAGGACCATCGGTCTCGTAAGCACCGAGTATAACTGAACAGCCATATGGTCTCACTGCTGAGTACAGTGTGTAAGCGTGCATGTACATGGCAACTCTCTCGTTTAGATATTTAACTGGTATTCCAATTCCATACTGTGCACGATAACTCGCTGCCTCTGATCTTGCTATTTCTGCTATTTGACGAGCGTCTGATATTAAACCTGATACAGACATTCCCACGTGCTCATCGATGTTGAAGATTCTTTTATTTGCACCTGGCTCATACAGCTTTGATGTCACTAGCTTCTCCACTGCAAATACCACTCCGTCTTTGCCGCGAAGGCCTATTACGGTTCTGCAAATAAAGTCGCGAGATCAAATCAAAGAATCAGGACCGTCTCTTGGTGGTTGGAAAATCCGGTACGTTCGCCAACTCAAAAATTACCCGCAACAGTCAGATTCTCTTCATATATTCATATTAAAAATAATGGGCGCAGACATGCAAAGTGTAGCTCAACTCTCTAGAGTCACATAATTATAGCTATGTGAAGTTGGCATCGAAGTTTGAAAAATCTAACTTTTTTTTGTTGGTTTGGATTGTACTCATTGAGTACTTGAATGTACCCTGTGCACTTTTTTTTGT